TTCAAAGCATAATGACAGCATTTTCTGGTAGCTACCACATAAGCTGTTCAAATGCAAGCTCATGTACTGCATGGCATTTAAATGGAACTGCAAATAGCCATGAAAAGGGGAGGTAGGACTTTGGGTAGTGCCTCTGAACGTAGAAGAGGGAAAAAATCCTTACTGCCTTTTTGTATTTCTTTTTTTGATGTTGCTCTTCTTCCGTGATGGACAAGAAAAATCTGTCAAGCTGAGATATACCATGTTTTGACAATTGGATATAAAATGCAGTGGACTCAAAATGCTACATGAAAACATGTTGTGAATCCACTTGCAGACCTGGTCATGCTGTAGAGATGCCAGCACACTGGGAGTTGCCTGCATGCTTGCTTGTTGGCTGGGGTGTAGCCAGTGTATCTCCTTATGCGTCTTGCAGGAGCAGTACCATTCTGCACTGCAAGAAGGTAGTTATAGCCAAAGGAATTCTGTAAATGGAAGAATGCAATGCTGGGGTTATTTAAAGACAGAGCCATTTGCCATGTAGCCTGATCCAGATTTGTGGTAATGGGGAGGGAGAAGAAAGGCCATTGGAAAGCTAGGAGTTCAGTCATTCATACGAACATAGGGTGATCTGCTCAGGCAGGCATTGTGACAGGAACTGGCAGGTGTAGCCAAAATTCTGTACTGGGGATGGCACCATTGCATCACTGTTGCATCACTGTCCCAGTTCCTTGCAGAAGACAGCCAGTCTTCTCTTCAGCATGCAAAATTTCTCTTTTCTTGCTGCAGACCATGCTGGGGATCTGAAATTGATAAATCAGTGTTGATCTGATTAATTGCCCTCTGAGTAATTGTTTGCCTCATGAGATCCTGGTATAAGCCTGCCTTCAGGCAGTTGCTGCCATCTGTGGTTCAGGTATCTTGCATCTTCCTTCCATCCCTAACCTACATCCTTGCATCAGGGAGCTGTGTGCCTCAAGCTGATGCAAGCAGCATTTCTCTCAAGTTGAGGCATAGGGACCTTGCATGATTTGAGGTGCTGTAGTCTAAAGGAAGGGTGGCAGAGGAGCTCTGAATGAGGTGGAGAGAGCAGGCTGGATGGCGAGTACCTGTGCCAAGGCATTGCTGAGATTGCAGGCTGGGTGTGGTGCAGCCCTGCCTCCTTGGCTCTGGGCAGCTAACGCTGTTGTGATGGAGAACTGGTCAGCCAGCATGCCTGGGTACGTGGTAGGATTTTGGCATTGGTTGGGCAGAGTCTACTTTGGCTGTTTCCATCACGGCAAAGTTAAATTGAGAAACCTACCAGTTCCTTCACTTTGAGTTTCGTGTGGTGGTAAACATTGACTGGCCTGTGGTAGAGCTGCCTTTTTGCTAGAGCCTTTCAAACCTGTGTAAACCATGGAAACAACTTGATATGAACTCCCTCAGTATTTTTTTATATTAACACTGAAAGAATCTTTTAACTTGGGATAGATTGTAAGGCAAAAGAGCCCTGCCTTATGATCAACTATATTTGGCCTCCAGTCTAGCAAGCCAAAGAAATGTACTCAATGATTATTTTGGTACTTAGACATACAATTAGCATATTCTGTGCTATGTGCTTTTTATTCAGTTCATGATGAGCTTGATGTCATGCCATGCTCAGAATGGTTATCTTTGGTTATTCTTGATTTGTCTCCTGTTACAGGAATCACAGCAAACCTGAAAATAAACTAGCCCTCTGTGTGTAAGCATTTTTAAAATGTCTAAATTGAAATAAAGACTTGATATGCATACTCTTTGAAGAAAATTGGTTGGACCTGGCAATTGCAAATTACCTAAGTATTAGGGGACGCTGTCTTTGAAAAACAACATTAAACTGTTTTATAGCAGCAAATAAATTTGATTTTATTATATAGCCTTTAATTATGTCATTGCTCTCATTCTATCAAAAAAAGCAGTGATCGAAGCAGAATATATTCAACTGAATGGAGGAGAGAAAAGACATAATTTGGAGAGGGATGTTGTTCAAAGATGGATAGAAATCACTCTTGTAAGGTATTTTCTTTATTATTTGGTGGCTCACATGGCTAAGTGGTTGAAAAATTGTTCAAAATCAATTATGCCTATTACATAAGAGTACCACACCCAGTATAAGCAGTTTTCATGAACAAACAATGACTCAGAAACCATAGACATAGTTTGAAGATGTAATATCTTAGGGTGGAATTCACTTTGTCTTACTTAGGTTCATCCAGGGAACTCTGAGGCAGTCTGTGTCTTTGCATTTTTTTAATGGTACCTGTTTCCTGGTAGACTATCATAGTTAGAGCTGAGCTTGAAACTCTGCACTGGGTATAAGCCAGATGAAAATCCACAATGAGAAAAGTCCTCTGTCTCTGTACAAAAACAGATTTTAAAATGGAGCACTTACTTGTGTGACATCAACAAATTCAAGTTGTTGTGCAACTTGGAAAATGTTTTGGTTTCATGCACCAGTGTTAAATTGTTCTTTGAGAATACTTCCTAATTACTTAATTATTAGTTATCCTTTGAAAGTCAATATTAATGAAACCTAACTTGGCAGAACCAATGCTTTTATTTTAATATCAACAAGCCATGTAGTTGTCAAAATCAGTGGGTCACAAGATCAGTCTGACAGTTCCATCCTGTGTAGCAAATCAGTGTTGATTGCTGCAGCAGCTGCACAAATAGCTTAGTCAAAATGCTTCCAGTGTAATGTCTTCTAATGTAGTTTTAAGAGGTCTGCAAGTCTAATAGAGGCATTCACAGCCTTGTACTCAAATTGGACTCTTGCTGTTCAAGGAAACAGGATTATGCATTGCAGTGTGGCATTCTTGTGTTCTGGAGGGGCTACTCTGAAGTGTATTTTGTCCTCAGTGGCGCATGTTTCTTGTCTTCCTCTGAATGATTTTTGAGGAGATTGGGCCTTAGCTACATACTCAATTCTAGGACCCCTTTTTTTTAAAAAAAAAAAAGATAAAAAGAGGGATTTCACTGTGAAGGTTGATTGTGGGTTTAGAAGACATTGCAGGCTTGGGATGGGTTCAACTCTTGTTGAAGGGAACACCTTGTCATCTATTGCGTGCATGACTTTACAGTAAACTCTCTAGAAACACAAACATTTTGACTGTGTAGTCCTGTAGATGTCAGTGACAACTCCACAATAAGAACAACTTAAGGATTCTTAAGAATTTATTGGAGATTGAAGCATAGCTGTAAAGCTAGATTCCAGAGCTACGACCCTTATTACAGTACAGTTCTAATGTATGGCATGCAAATGTCATATTTCTAACTTGCAGAATGAAGGGCATAATTTTAAACTAGGTATTCCTATTCCTCATATTCCCTATAACCTAGGGAACATAAATATTTATTCTTAAAGTTTCTGTGTTGTTGTTGTTACATTGGCTAGCTTCCTCAAAATCATGATCACAAAATATACAGGTTTAGAAACAAAATATGCCACATATGAGATAAGGGTAGTTCTCAGATTCTGTGTTTTTAAGTGATTATTGACAATTATATTTCTAAGATGCAACTTCTAGTTTTCTGTAGGAACAGACTGTTGTTATATGAATATTGTATAAAGTGCAATTCTCCTAGGGGGAATCATTATCATCCTTTCTTTCCCTGAATTTTGAATTTTTTCTTATCTTGAGTTGCCATGCCATCATTCATTTTCTGTCACTATCTGTTACATTTTAGGAAAAGACCTTAAACACAAAAGAAGATTTTTGTAATATCTAATTTTCTTCTCAATAGGAAGATAGACTTTTTTGCATTTGAATGAAAAGAAAACCTATGTTAAAGCTAATTACTTAATTTTTAGGATTTCTGGTGCTAATGTGCATCCCTCTTGGAATTAAAAAAACCAATAGGGTGGTAATGTAATAATTTTACAGATCCTGAAACAGCTTCATCCTGTCCTTTGCTCTTTTTACCAAGCAAAGCTCATTGTTTTCAGTAGTAATTTCCTTACTTACTGTGATAACCAGTAGCTTTGCTCTGGATGCATGCAGGTTCCACAGCACTTTGAACTGTGTGCCTGAACTCCTGCACAGGATTGAGGATGGTCAGGATCCCCAGAGGCTGGCTTATAATTAGCTGGGGGCTAAACATGGTGACATCTAAGCTCAAATAAATACAATTCCTAGTATTTGATTTCTGTTCCCAGCTGGCCTAAAACCTCTCTTTTGGACTGATGGCAGAAGTGTATAACATTCCTTTTTTACTTGCATGTGGGTTATTAATCTGAGTGTTTGGAAGAAATCTGCCAGATTTGGTCCCTGTAGGGAATGTAGGCACAGGGGGGGGATCTAGTAGTGGCTCCAAGTGAGTATACGTTTGAGCAAATTCTTTGTTTTTTGGGGTTTTGGGGTATTTTTTGAAAACTACTTTGCTGAAAACTTGTAGTCAATTCTTTTGGTTTTGGGTATCTTAAGTCCTTTATAAGATGTTGTTCTTGCTCACTGTTTTTCTTCTCTGAGTATACAAACAAGTCCCATTAGTATAATCCTGCCACTTGCCAAGGAATGGGAATTGATGTGCACGTGGTAATGCAGACTTGGAATGGTTCTTTAGTCACACTGCCTTAGGTGCAAGTGGCACAAAAACCCCCACTATTAAAATACTTTGTGCTAGATATCATGGGTATACACGCTGTAACATGAAGTAGGAGATAAAAGACTTTCTCTCTCTTTTGCATTTCTGTTTGAAATTTCTTTTATGCTTTTCAATGTGACTGGTATTGCTTCAGAAAATAAGTATTCCCACAGAATTTAGCTGAAGATTGACTTACACTAGAGGAAACTATTTTAAGATGTTGGATCTGACTTCTTTTGAGGCATAAAGACCCGCCTTTTAAATACTTGCTTCTTTGAAATTAATGTAAGAAAATAATAGTATGAACTAAGTGTTAAATCAGGGTTTGTTTGTTTTTAACTACTACTACTAAGATTTTCTTTCTAGTGCTGATTTTGTCTGTGTGTCCAATTAACTCTCAACTCTGATTCTTATAGGCAGTTACCAGGCAAAGCTTTGGAACTAAAGACTTTCGAGCAGCTCTAGAAAATGGAGTCCTGTTGTGCGAGTGAGTATTGGCTTACCTATATAACAACCCTTCAGGTTAACATCAGCTGGCCTCTCTCCTTCCTGGCCTCTGAATTTTTTTCCTTTTTTTTTTTTTTGAAGTACCAAAAGTATTTTGTAGTAAATAACTTAAATTTTATAATACCTGTTGTTTGTCATGGGAAGTAAAAGCAGGTTTTGACATACTCTTTCCAGGTCCAAATGTTCACTGTGTTGTCCCACACACTACTTTGTCTGATACTGAGAGGACCGTGCCGTTGTTGATTGGTTATATTGGTTTTGGTTATAACGCCCAGGATATCTCTGGGCTTTCTCTTCAGCTTCTGCAAGGTGGTGTGGCTGTAGCTGGGATCAAAGCACACTGTTACACCTCTACCCACTGCTGTTGTTTGGGTTTGGATTTCTGTCCTCCATCCCCTGCCCTTTAGTGTTGATTTCATAAATCCTGAAACTACCTATTCCTGTCACAGAACTTTACACTCAGCTTGTTTTGGAGCACTTTCTGTAAGAAGCTTCCTCATGCTTATATACTGTAGGCTTGGCAATGATGGGACTTGCCTGGTTTCGTTGTTAGACTGAGTCAGAGGTGTAAAATGTCCACTCAACAGGTCTCATCCACATGTCTGTAATTGGCTTGATACCTACTGGAACAGGTTTCCAGGACTGGAAGTGGTGCTAATCCCTTAGTATTTTAACAAACAGCAGTTGTAAATGTCATTAGAACACCAGTGCAAGAGCAATCTCGTTAGAGAGCTACCTGGGATGGTAAAAACAACAACAAAACCAACCAAACAAACCTTAAAGAAACCCAAACTCACAAATCTCAGAACCACTCTAAAATCAGTTCAGCAAAGCTGAACTTTTAGAAAATATTTGTGCAAGTTCAGTTGTCTGAGCTTCTTTTCCTATACATAATTTTTTCCTTCTGTGTATATCGCCATGTTTTCTGTCCTTACCTTTATTTTGCTTTGGACTCTTTGCCTTCCAGTCTTATCTTGCTAGATGCTTCTTAAGTTATCTGTGGTATGAGGCATTAATTAATTTTCAATAATATTGTAGAGCTGGATGCTCTATTTTCATTACTTAGGTAATTAAATTTTAATGAGTGTGAATGTGGTAATAAAAATAGTTTGTACTTTTAATAAGAAAGTATATGTTTAGGGGGATGTATATATTGTATTCAGATGTTTAAGAATTGGCTATTAACTGATACATACTAATCTTCTGATATCTTCATTGTTGATACTTACTTGACAATAGAATGAGGATCCCTCTGCAAAATGCAAGTCAGTTAAATTTATCTGTAATTAATAATAATGCAATAAAAAACATCCTGCAATTTCTTCAGTGTCTTGGTTTGAAAAGACAGGTGTCTGCTAAGGAAGGCAGGAGCCTCTCTTGAAATGGAAAATGCAAACTCCCTCCTGTCTGAATTATTATAATTTTGAAATTAAGAGGCTCTCAGGCAAATATGTGGGAGCAGGAATAACTGTTCTTTATTAGGAAAAAAAATGCATTAATACCAAACAACACTGACAAAGTCAGAATATGACCTGACACCCTGTGGGTCGGGATGTTGGTAACAGTCCCATTCAATGGTGGCTGCAGTCCTCCTGCAGTGACAGGTGTGCTTCTGCTGAAGCAGTGATCCTGTAGAAGGGTGTGGTTTTCCTCTGAAGGTCCAGTGGTGGTGTTGATGGCCCTGGTCTTCCTCTGGGAATCCAGTAGGAAAAAGCTGTCTCTGTTGTTCCAGAGACATATAGTCTCAGATTATATCCAGGTGGGAATGCTTGGCTCCTCCCCCTGGGTGGAACATCTCGCAATGGGGTGATGTAGTTTTATCAGTGAGACTCAAGGGCCCATTAAGTGAAGATATTTCCCAGAGGGAGGATGGGTTGTGGAAGAGATAAAGAAAACTGCCCCACCTGATTTTAACAAGTGGCAAAAGAATACACACTGCTAGCCACATCTTGCATTGCAACCCAAGACATTCTAGTGACCAGCTTGCCTTAGGAGGCATGCAACTTTCTTTAAAGCAAAAGATACCTTATTATGTTGCACTAAAATAGCTGTTCTCTTGTGGCATAATTTTTGTAGAATTTCTGTGGGAACAGGAAAGAGCAGATGCCAAAAAATTCCACATGTCCAATTTTCACCAACAACAATATAGTGCAAGATCTCAAATAAGAGACAAACTAGAAATTAGATCGTCCATTTCCTTGGTTCACCTGTAGCATGGCTAATTTAGGTGGATGTATTATCTCTGTTGATTGTAGATCTGACTTAAACCACAGCAGATAAGACCTGTACTTGCACCACATATTCCTATAGCATCCAGTCAGTTTGTTTGTCCTACTCAATGACTAAGTGCACACGTTGGCTGAGTGATCAGTAGTTGACAAAATAAAGCCTTTTTCATTTTGCCAATTCTAGTGTGCACACACTAGAGAAAGAAATTTACTGAAATTTTTCTGGTCACATGCTACGTCATGTTCTTCAGTAAAATAAATTTAAAAATTATGCATATGGAAGATGTAAAAATAATTCCACCTCAACAGGTCACTTTTTTGGGTAGGAAAAGTGATCAAATGTCTTGTTTGCTAAATAACTCAGTGTTATTGAAAAATCTCAGGACCTGCAGTTCTTTTTTTTTTTTTTTTGTTCCTGCAGGTATTTAGAAATGTATCCTTCATTCCAGTGTATAGGGGTCAACTGTTCTTTGTGTTTATTCCAAAGCACATTTTCTGCTTGAGCAAAAGATGCTTTTCCCCCACACAGAGTTGTAAACTCCAGGTCTTGTCTCTGCACCAGTGTGGGCAGATCACAAAGCCTTGCTGATGCTTTGTGTAGGGTAAAGGGTCTGGCCAGAGAAGCAGCAACAAGAAATGAGAGCAAGTAAAAAAATCCTCAAAGGTATAGAGGCAGATGAAGTCTGCAGGGTGTCCTGAGGTCCCTGTTCTCCACTGACCCTCTGGTCCAGTGTGTAATTTGGTGATCCACAATATTTCAGTAGCTTCATTATTGAAAACTTGGGTGTAGACTTGCAAGGAATCCTGTGCCTCATCTTTACTACAGGATAAGGTATGCATTTGGGCATATGTATTCAATAGTGATGTGTTAGTCTGTCCTATCTTCTCAGCTTAATTGTGAATTTTATGTGAAGAATGATATCAGGTGCAGTCTCTTCTGACTGAGATGGAAAATGACTTGTGCAGGTAAATTGTGTGTGCCAAAAATGATTGCTGCACACAGCATACTGGACTTGGTAGCATTGTGAAAACTGAGATTATTTCTCACCCTTTCAGGAATATTAGTGCTATCACACTGAACTCTGAGATTCAATATTCTGGTACATTTTTGACATCTGCTCAGAACCTTTATGAGAAGAAAAGCTATAAATAGGAAATCTGAATCCAATTAACATCACCACCCTTGTAGTAGAAACACAGATCCTTTTCTGCCCACGCCTCCTCAGGCATTTTCTTTTCTTTCTTGCTTTGCTGTTCCCAGAAACCTCTTTGTGTGTGACTTGTTTCGTTTTTGCTTCTACAATCTGTTCTTGCTTGTCACTTCTTGGGAGTGTTAATACATTCAGCTCAAATTCATTCAAATGATGTTACGTTAGGACCACATGCAAAGTATTTCTTAATAAGCATTGATGCTCATGCTTAAGTACAGTAAAATATTTAACAGAAAATCATATAACTTTTTTTTAGTTTGATTAACAAGATCAAACCTGGCATCATTAAGAAGATCAATCGTCTGCCAACTCCAATAGCTGGCTTGGTAAGTAAAGGCATTGAATCTAGTATCTGGTGTATGAACCAAGTGATCTCTGTTTTTAAAGAATTTTCAAAATTTTATCTCCATTTTCTTTTTTTGTTCAAAATTGTACCATTTCTATGTTATCTTAGACCGCAAAGGATACCTAATCTGTCATTTGCATCTGTAACTTCAGTCATCCTGTCACTGCATCAAGCTTCATCATCCCCAGATTTATCAAGCACTGGCTCCTGTGCACAAACCTCTGTGGCATTACTTGTCTCTGTTTAAAGGCCACCATCCTATCTTAACATTTAGAAGCCACTTCCGATATCCCTTTCTTAGGGAATGGGCAAAGTAGGAAATGTTCTGTGTAGTTAAAGTATTTTTAGAACCTGTTTCACTCCACCCACAACAAAGCTTCAGTTGCATTAAAATAACTCTGATGATGCAAAGATCTCTCTGCAGGCTTCAGCTGAGGGATTTGCCAATGTTTTGGCTGTAAATCACATTGCTGGGGGTAGAGGTGGGAGATGTATGTCATAATTTTTACAGGAAATGTAAAAGATTTCCTGTGTGCTGTTTGGAAAATTTGCTGCCCAGAGCCTAGATTAAGTTTTCTAGCCATTTAGCATCAGAAACCCTTCTGTGGGCAAAGGAGTTCAAAGAATTCCTTCTTCATCGCTTTTTCATTACAACAACCTTGTTGCCTGTTCATGTCACTTAGGGTGTCAAGGCTATTTAGTCACAAATGCCATTGGTCTCATATTAAAAGATCCAGGGTGGACAGGGACATATGCATGATTCCTCTGAGAAATGAAGATCCCACCTTATGACAAACATGCAATCTTAACGTCAGGGAAAATTACCTGGTTTCGTAGTAGGAGTAGAATGGAAAACTTCTCTAGATACTTTTATTGATATGTTTTAATGGGATGAGCCAACAAAACATTGGCTTTTGCTGGTCACCCATGCAGCTCATTAGAGAATAAGTGTAGTTAACTTGGCTGGAGGTCATAAGATTAGGTTAAATTGCCATAAGTTATTGCATAAGCTGAGAATGTGCATTTCCACATCAAATGAATGCAGAAAGTGTTAATTGCCTTTGTCCCAGACAAGCTCAGGTATTTAGGCTTGTGAATATGACTGCTGCACATTCTTTTCCTGTGAGGCATACAAAAAAGAATTCAAATGAAACCAAAATAATTCTGGGGAGGACAGCACAGTTATTTGATCAGTGGTTTGATTCTCTATGTGGCCTCTGAAGTACCCATTAGATTCAAGACAGAAAACCATAAGGTAGATTTCATTTTTGTGGTTAAGTGCTGTCTTGAATCATAACTGCAGGCATTTTTGGTTTTATATGCATTTTTTATTTCCAGATGTAAAAATGCAGACTATTCACTTGGTGTGTAATTTATATTTTCTTGGTAGTGTATTTCTGTTTTTTGAAGTTGCTTCTAGTTCCTACAAGTCTTCAAAAATAAAGGAAAGAGGAGGAAAGGCAAATTTTTCTTGTAAATAGAGCTCACCCGGTGTTATTGTTAAAACACAACTTAAAGGTAGTAATTGAGAGAGCTGATGTTTTCTGTTAACCTGTGGAAAAGGTTTTACATAAACACTTCAGTTTCTGAAGACAACAATTATGAAGACCATATTGGGATGGTTTCAGAAGATGGTGCTTATGGTGATGATAGCGGAAGACTGGTTTATACACACTTGAGAGGAACCTTCTCAGTTATGCCAGCTTTGAAGAGCCCAGGTTTCATCCCATGTAGAACTCAAACTAAAAATTATGGGGATTTGCATTTATAGGAAAGCAGGCATTGATACCTGACAGGCTCAGGATACTATGGTTGAAAGATAGGTTTTAAAGATAGAATAAAACTTACTAGGAAATTCAGTGGTAGGTTTGCTTGACATGTTCTGGAGACATTTTCATTGCTTGTAGGTTGCTTCTGCCACAAATTTGCTTCTAGTATTTTCTGTGGCTTCATAAATGTTACATATGCTTCTGTGGCTCTTGCTTCTGCTGTCTTCAGTGCCTTTGAGTCTCACACTAATTGCTCCCTAGCAAGCTTTCATGAGGTGTAGAAATCACTGTTGGAAGGGCTGAATTTGGTTGCCATTTTTTGTCTTTTTTTTTTTTAATCCAGATGAAAATTTTAATATTGAGAGATGACAGGGTTTTTTTCTAAAACAAAAAGGGATCAGATCATGTTCTTTCTACAGTTCTTCATGCTCATCTAGACTCATATCCTGAAGTCCATTTCCAAAACATTTTATACCTTTATTGCCTAATTAGCATCCATTTCTCTCCTGAGTTTTCTGATTCAAAGGAAACAAACCCCCTGTGGTTTTGAGAGTTTTATGGCAGTCTGATTATCAGAAGGAAACAAATGCTTTGAAAGACATCTGGTTTCTCTTCCCCCTTCCCCCCCAGCTTTCCCTCCCCTTTGTTTTTCTTCCCCTCCAGAAATTCCTTGAATTTTGGTTTTGTTCCCTAGGGAGTTAATATATTTCATTTCCATTAAGTATGTTGTTTAAGCATTGTGTTCACTTCAACTATTTGACAGGCTTTTTCAGCTGTACAGAAATGTGGTGTTGAATAGATGCCTTTGGTTGAATCTCCAGAAAGGTTTTGTTATCTCACTTCTTTGCATTCATGGTTATTTTGAAAACAAACTGTTTCAGTAAATTAGCAAGTGAAGGCCTATAGGAATAATTAAACATTCTGTTCTATATGGAATATTGTGTGCTAGAGTTCTTTTGCATTGAGTTAATGTGAGGTGCTGCTTTTAATGAGGTCAGTGCATTATTGATTTGTTGGGTCTTGTTTTCTTTTATGACACATTACTTCTCATAAGATCTGATAGGGACTTTATGTTAGTAGGCACATTTTACAGAACTTAGATTAAGCCTTAGCTTTTACCTTTAGTTTGATTGTAATACTGCCTAGTGATTTTTAGGTGTGGATTGCAGTGGTTCAGGTCTAATCATGACAGAATGGAAAAATAAATAGATGTGTTTTGAGGGTTAAATACTAAAATGAAAGTTGGTATTCAGTTAATTAAAAATGCTTAATTGCTACCCGGAAAGTTCATAAAATTGATTAAACTTCTCCCCAGTATGGCATGGCATGGGAAATCTGGGCTGCAGCTTGTGTGGGAGGATTTGTAAGAAGTCTTTGGGAAGAAGAGTTGGATCTGGCTATAACTTGGTATCCATAAAACAACTTTTTGCTTTATCCTCACTGTTCCAGCTCTCTCCTGAGGCACGTGTGTGACATGTAGCCATTGTCTTAGCTGCATTTGCCTGTTCACTTCTGTTCCAGTTTGGAAAATGGAACTTCTGGGGGTAAGGCAAGTACCAGAGTGGCCGTAGGGACGCTGTGGTCAGGAGCAGGTGACTGAAGAAATGTCCATGCAGATTTTATGGTGGTTTCCCGGACAGTGAGGTGTGCCAGCTGCAGGGTGCCAACTTCTAACTCCAGCAGAAGTTGCAGAAAGTTGCCACTTGCAGCAGGTTGATTTTAACAGCTCGTGGTAGATTTTGGAGCCCATGATGTTCCCATAGATTTCCTGAAGGGAGTTAACTGGGAGGTAGCTGTTAGGGTTTTTTGCTTTAATTTTGATAATTTTTTTTTTAAATGCCATTTAGGACCTTTGCACTAAAATAGTTTCTAGAAAATTAAAATTTAATTTCTGATAATATGTAGGGGGCTAGAATATAAGAAAATAAAGATAGTGTAGAAAGTAATCTGACCCTTAAGGAGTTGCAGCTGGGCCAATTATCAAAGATTAGGAGCAGGCCTGACTTTAACAGGCCACAGCTGTAACCAATGAGAAGAAAAGTGCTATAGAAGAGTGGGGTGGCTGGGTGAGAAGGGAACCGGAGTCAGTTGGCTGCTGTGAGAAGAAGAAAGAGGCAGTGCTCTGAGGAGATGTCCATGAGAAACCACCAAGAAGGTATGAAACTTTTGTGATAAGGAGACAACAGTGTGGAACCCCTGCAAGAAGTTGACAACAATTATATTTCAGACTAAAATACAGTTTGTATAAAGAGCAGTGCACATATTTTTTCCCAGTACAGCAGAGGGGCAAGCAAACTGGTAGAGAGTAGGTCCTGAAGCCCTCAGGTGTTTCTGGGGGGTATGGGAAGGGTAACAGAAAGGTCAGAGCATTGTGGAAGCTGAGATTTCATTATGAACAGTAGAAAAAGTGCAGACTGCATTTTGTTACTATAAAGATCCACTTCTTTTGGTCTTTATTTGTGTGAAACAGAGATGGTGTTTAAAGAAAATTACTCAAATTGATAAATCTTGCTGGGTTCAGACCCTGCAAAATTATTTTGATTACAGTTCTTGGATAGTGGGGTGGTAAAATGAATGTTTAGCAAAAGCAAACCCAGAGGAAAATTTTTTTTCTCACAAAATACAGCATTTTCAGCTTGAATCCCAGCATGTAAAGATGGTTTGAATACAATCATGAGGGGGAAGATTTTGTGGTTTGACAACATATTTTCCAACAAGGCTTTGCTGAACAGTTTCAGAGGTGCATCTTTGTCTGCAGCACCATTGTTCCACAAAAGCCTCCTGTTTTCACCTCAGTTGGCTGAACACAGAGAATCATAACCTGGAATGAAAGTCACCAGATGCCATGAGACAGCTGGAAGATGAATGAGTTATGTATAGTTTATGCAAGCTGAACATATCTCTCAGAATAATACATTGCTTGTTGCTCAGGAGGAACAATGTACACTCTTCAGCAAGGCAGAATTTCAGTGAAGGTACATTTCCAGCTGAGACCACGTGGTGAAGCAAATTCTGAGGCAGAAGCCAGTGTCTCCCTTGGAGAGGGGAAGCAAATGGAAATCTTGCTTATACCAATTTTTGCCTTGCAATATCCCAATTTGGTCTTCTAAGACCATCTATTTTTGCTTGCAGCTCCTGTGAATAAGATGGAAGTGCAATACTTTGCACTGTGTTTGGGACATGAGGGCTGTGATCATGCAGCAGGGCAGAA